TAGTAAATTTAAGCCCTTTTACCGTGCCCTGTGGTGTCCTCGAGTGCATCAAAACAGCAAAGGCAGAAAACAGCCAGCAAACACAACAGAGCACCATGCGCATGTGCATTTTCTATCTAATCAAGCCTGTGTGCAAAACGCCACAAACAAGGAAACAGTGCGCACATGGATTAGAGCTGCAAAATGCATCTGTGCATCACTCAATCCATGTGTTTTCAGCTTTGCTCGACTCCGATTCAGTGCCTGCGCATTGTCAAGCCTACAACTTGAAGTCTGTGCAGCTTCTCGAAGAGAAGATGCGGATTTTTAGATCTTAACCAAAGACAGATAGACTAGACTCTTGCTTTGAACATCTTTGGCTCTACGGTGGACAAATCAAGATTGGCTCGCAATTTGTTTTCGCTATGTCATGTGATGCTTTTCTCACTCCATGAGTTTGGCTGACCTTCGGAACGTTTGCTTTACCGTGTTACTCCTCGCTTCTGCCACCTTGGTATTGAACGGTTTTATACCCTTTCACCCTGCGTTTGTGTGTGCTCAACATTTTACCGTTTGACCGTTTACCGCGGGCCTCTGCAACTCCGTAACCAGACACACCGCAAGCCAGCACAGCCATTTCCCTCTTATATTAACATCCTGTATTCTGAGACACAGCTGACAAGTTGCACCGTCAGGCTCTGCGCAGAGATCAAGAGGCCACGGAGTTTTAAGTCAGCTCAATAGCTTTGGAATCTTTGGTCTCCACCAAATTGAGGGAAGCCGCAGAAACTATCGATTGTTGCAAAGGTATCGTCATGCTTGATTCAGCGGCAACTTGCACATGGCAAGCATCCATCCCGCAGGTTGAAGACGAGAGACCCCGGCAAGTCCTTGATGCGGAGAGAGTATCTGGTTTGGCAGGACTGCCAGTCATGTGTTCTTCACACTTGATGCGCCTCTTTTTGGCCTTCAAGCACTTTTGAGTAAGTTGTCTTCTTTCTTTTTGTTGGAACGGAAGTGGACAAAGGGCAACATATTGAAACTACCAAAAGTGGTTTGTTCTGTAAGGCTCTTTCTGGCTAGCAGCTGTTGCAATGAGTGGACTTGAGCTCAACGCTGCTGCTGGCCGACCGGAGGTAGCAATGCCGCAGGGTTGATGAGTTTATCGCTTCAAATTGTTTGGATAGTGGTTTGTATCCGAATAATGTTTAGTGCAAGCATTCGCACCGTGTTTTGATGAGCCATAGGAACCATTTTGGAGTGATTTGGACATGTGGAAGATGATTTGGGACGTCGTTGGGCCAATGTTTTGGGCCTGCCAGGAGTGGGCCGAGCGTGCACCAGATGCCCTGTTCGCAGCAGTCAATCAACTTGAAGGCCGGTAAAGTGCCGCAGCTTCTTTTTGAGGGCTTGCAACACACAGCTTCTTCGTTCTCGTGTATGGGTCGTGCTTTCCAGTCGGAAGGCTCTGCTGAAAGGGCTCGAGTGCTTTGGGCCCTGCACGCCTTGGGAAAGGCTTCGGAGCAGGAGGTGCCAGCGCTCACGCCACCTCTTTAGTTATTGTTAGAAGATGGAAGCATGCAATAGACAGTTATATCATATATGTGCGGGTGTGAAAGTATAGGGGAAGAGCAAATAATGTTTGACATGCGGCTTATAAAGCTTCTTCTGAAAGTTGAAGACGTTCGACAGCGATAGTCCGAATGCAAGCTCGACACTCCAGCACAATTCAGCATGGCTTTGCTGGCCTTTTTGACCCTCTAAGATTGAAACCTTTCGTGCTTTTTACATGATCTCTGACCGTCTTGCTAGCTCGCGACATGCCGTGCATTGCGTGAGCAGTGCAGCGTGCACGTCTGGTCCAGTCAAAGTTCTAACTGAAAGCAAGGGGTCAAGAAATGTACTGTCTCGACGGAACTGGCCTCCGCTTCGTAAAGTCCTCCATTAAATGCCTAGCCCTGGTGACTAAGGCTCGGGAGAGGCCAAGCAGAGTCGCTCCACCACCAAAGTGCAAACGGACTTCAGGTTCAACAAAGCCACCCCGAAAGTCACCCAAGCCAAAGAGGCTCAAAGCGTCGTCCAAAACCCTTGGCAACCGGGGTAAGGAGTTGGGTTGCAGTTGGCCGTGAACATCAATCAGCCTTGATATCGACTCACTCGGAAAGGCAAAGTCACCGTCGACAAGAGGATACAGAAGCTCAACATCAGAAACCCAAAACTTCTTGAGGATTGATTGCTTTTTGAGCGTCCAAGAACAGCTGTGGGTGCAGTGGTTCCACATCGCTTGCCGCCTGGGATGCTGCGTATAGGAAGTTCCCATAGATCCAGATCACTTGCAGTGGAGGTGCAGCCAGGCCACAAAGACAGGATTTCGCGCAGGGTCTGGCAAGTAAATGAAAAAGCGATTGAGGCCTTTGGCGATCAGTGTGGCTTTGACACAACCTGTGCCCATGCAATCCCGTGCAGCCACACGGGCGTTTGACGAGAGGGGGGCCATAAGAATGCGAAACTGTGCTGCATACCTGATCCAATTCTGATTCCCTACAATCCGCACCGAACAGGGGGTCAACGTAAAAAGAAAGCTGCTTGATGGGTGGAGGGAAGAAAATTGCTCCAGACTCCCCATACTGCTCGCAAAAAGGTGGCGAAGGGAGATTGTGGCGCAACTGCCCATGGGAACATCAAACCCAGGTTTGGGCCGAGAACTCGTGCTTTTGGCACTAGAATGCAAAGTTTGCCGCAAGATGGCTGTAGGTGTGTCCAACATTGCAAACAAACGTCCACGGGCCACCTTCGCAAATGCTTTGTTGCATGTGTCATCGCTCAAAGGAGTTGTCCCAAAAGTTGGTGGAGGAGTTGGCTCACTCCGATCCCACAGGCTCCAGGGCTGCATTGAGCGGCCTAGAATCCTAGAATGAATGGTTTTGAAGACGGGCTCTACCCCGTGATGTTCGTCTCGACTTCGAAATTAGCAATAGGATCCACTAAAATGATCTAAAATGTAGAAAGCCAGACCTGGGCACTGAGAAGGAAAGCAGCAACACCTTATGCTGAGGTTTCCGTTGGGAGAGCTGGCAGCTTCTCCGAGAGCTTCAGCCGCTTCTCTCGAAGGAGGAGGCACATGCGAGCCGGTTCCCTTTCTGAGTTTTTTTGCGTCTTTCGTTCTTGAACACTTTGCGTTTTCCTTCGTTTTCACCTCATCGTTCCGTCTCCGGATCTCTCCCAATCTCTCCGAGTTTGGAGGACGCCGAGACTCCTTGCCCCTTTACCACGATATGGAAGGAAGGGCTGACTGCAAGCTTGGAGGCTAGTGTTTTTGAGTGCTTGCAACTTCATGATTGATGCCAATTATATGATCTTCGCTTCCCTTCGGTTGGTTGCCTGGCCCCTCAAGGCCGAGACTGCCACCTTTCGGGATTGCCCACGCCGCAGCGAGCTAGCTTCAGCTTTAGAGGCAAAGTGCTTGGTGGACACTTCAGAACCACACCTTCCGGTTAGAGTATTGAGAGGCTCTCTCATTTCTACGATTCCACACTGTCCAGTTTTCTTGCTCGCACTGCGGAAACCCTAGAAGAGCTACCTCATGCACATCTACCGCACAGTAATGACAGGGCAGAGAGCTAGACTGTAGGACCTGTAGATCCACCTCTTGTATTCAATTTTGTACATTGACAATTATGCAACAATAAGGTATTCAAGCGGGGGTTCAGTTCTGATTGCACCAGGGGGTCCACCTTAAGCCGCTGCTCGTTTCAAGTAGGAGAGCGGAAGCAGCTTCTTAAGGAGGGGTAAACAAGCTTTCCAACAGTCAGGCCTGCAAACTCCAACTTGGTCAAGAGTTCTTCTGGACCTTGGCCATTGACTTCAATGTTTTGCTCTCGGCCCTGCCAGGAACTAGCTGATGCTGAGGAGCCAGAGCTTCTCGCCAGGAAGTTTTGAGAAGGTCTTGCTTTGCAACGCAAACCATGCAACTGTGGGCTTCAACATCAATAGATGTCAGAGATCAGTTTCTAAACGCTAAGGCTGGGGGCAGTCGCTGGACCCTTTTGCACTTTGCCTGCAAAGGTCTGAAGTAAGGCTCCTAGGAGGAAAGATTCTGGTTTTCTTTCAGGTCTTGCTGCTTTGTGGAAAAGCAAACAGCTTGCCATCGACATAGATCCTTGCTTGCACATGTGGGAAAACCGGAAAGACACTTGTTGGCAGCATCCTCCAGACATACTCAAGAACGGAAGCACTGATGGGCCAAACTGACTTGCCAAACAGTGTCCAACACGGAGCTTAGAATTGACGCTACTCTCAGGATATGCATCACACCGTAGTGAGCCGCGTTCTGCGTCGCCAGCTGTGGGCAAAGCTGCTTCCAGACTTCCAGGCGTGGGGTTTTGATTCGGAAATACTGGCCAGGCTGGTGAAGAAGGCTTTTGACTACATCAATCAGGTTTCATCTTACCTGTGATCAGAAATCAGGTTGAACGGAGTATGTGTTGGCATGTCTTGGCATCAGTTTCAGAGAGCGACTAAATTAGATTGAAGGAACAACTGCGGACCATGGCATTTACTGTATATAGATCATATCCAGCCTCAGATCAGCTTAGGTGAAGGAGATCAGTCTGGCTGATTGGGACAAGGCGACGTGCACAGCTCTAGATGGCTTGGGAGCTTATTAACGGGGTGCTTTGATAGCTTTCACCCACTTTGTGAGGAGGGTGGACTCCATCGAGTACATCTTTTACGAGAAATTCTTAGTGGCACCGATGCTGATGGCTAGCATGGAGAGAGAAAAAATGCGTGTGACACAGAGTCTACTAGCAATGGCCGTCAACCTACTAGCGACGGCCTTCAACCTAGTAACAAGGATGCTACTAGGGGCTCCTGGCCCTACTACTAGGAGCAAAGAAGCTACTAGGGGCCCGCTCCCCCCTCTCCAGTAAGCTACTTGTTGGGCGAAAGCAGGAGGTTGGGCCGCTTGGGTGCGAGGGCCGAAGGGCCGAAGGGAATGATTTCTATCTCTTCGCCGGAAGGTTGTTGGATGAGCCGCAGTTCACCGAGCGGGCTGCGTGGATCTCGCAAGTCATGCGTTCACAGGCTGACTTGACTAGAGCTGTCCTGAAGATAACTTTTGTTTTGTGTTCAACATGAAATTCACTTCAACAAACACTATCAGACCAAAAAGACTATCCGAGCACAAGAAAGGACATTTCAATGAGCAAGTTCCAGAGTTGCGTAAAGTTGTGGACAAGTCTAGGTTGGCTTTGTGTGCTATATTCAGGTGGTCGGGAGAAGGTTTGTACCGCCCTGCCTGACATTGAACGGAATCGGAGGATTCAGAAGACATTGTTAGGGCTGTGGAAACTTCGTTCAGCGGTAACTCTTGGAAAATACGCTGTGCGCCAGGTCATTTTGCAGAGCGCACTAGGTACTTTTGGCAAATACGCTGGGTAGTTTTGAAAAGTACACCACCGGTTACTCCTGAAAAGTAGAGTGCGGCCGTTACTTTAGGGAAGAGTGCACCTGAAGTGTAGTGTGGTGATGTGTGATGTGACGAAGTGAAGTTCGGTGAGTGAAGTGTAATGCGGTGGTTGTGATGTGGTGAAGTGTAGCGCGGTGAAGTGTAACGTTTTGTTTTTGGTGTATTGGTTGCACTCTGCTGGTTTTGATTCCCGTGAAGGGATTTTGCCGCATGTTGTTGGTAGGTGCATGATCTTTTTGCCTAATGAATTGTTGTATATCGGGTTGTCACCTGGGTTTGCTTACATATATAGTTTTTTGAATGTCCTCCCACCGGCCCTGTCATGGAAATCTACCTGGCAATGTTGGCGGCTGGCAATATTGACGCCATTGTGTGTACTGAAAACAACAGGCTTCTTGCAGCAACCTCAGTGAAAGGTGCAAACGAAACCCGCATTTTGTTGAAAGGATACGTGGATGTCATGGTGATCAAATTGTTTTGCGTGCCTACCCAATCTCAGCCATCTTCTGAAGGCGGAAGGAATGCTTAGCAAGCTGGGGCCTGATATGGAGCCACCTGAAAATACTCCTTTGGGCGTGGGTGCATCAGCAGCCTGGCTGCAGAAGTTCCGCCTCATATGATAGAGAAGCACAGACGGGCCGGTCTCAAAGATTTGCCAAGTGAGGTTGCAGCAGCGGTTATTCTTGCATCTTTAGTCAAGGACAGCTTGAGTGTTTGGATTGCGTTGGACGGTTGTGTGAATTTTCATCATCTTTCTAGCTTGTCGGAGTGTTTCAATTTCAAGTATCAGTTGGTGGTGAAGTTAGGGGACCAACAAGCGACTCATATCACTGCTTGCAAACACGAGGTTGGCTGTGAACACAGCCTGGTTTCTGCAGGAGTCACCAGACTGGCTCTTGAAGGCTAGGGGCTAGGGGTGGCTGACAAGAAATTGGGTTGATGTATCTGCACAGCATATATACATATATATACACTCTGAATGATACACCCGGTGTGTCCTACCTCCTAAGTGATCCTACACTCACGGTCCTTTGTGTCCCTTGGCCTTGTCCAGCTTGAGCCACCGTTTTGGTGGATGGGCTTCATGAAGCTGATGGACCATGTTCATTCATTGAACATTCACACTCCCTCAAAATCAAAACTTTCTAAACAAACAAAATTGATTCATGGATGTGTCTGTTCTTGTCCATCAGCTTTGCCTTCTTTCATCCATTTCAATCTCTCGCGTTTTGTGGCTCTGCTCTTAAGTGTTTCGCTCTCATCGAACAACCTGTAGACCCCTGTTCTCAAGGCTTCCCTCAGAACGTTTTAACACATACATTTTGTCAATGAGTCTGCTAGCATTGCTTGACTACAGATCCACCGCAGTGAGATGTTTTCTTGAAGACGTTGTCGGATGAGAGGGCATTCTAGTGTCGTTCTGTACTCTGAGCATTGAGGTGGACTCAGCTTTGTTGCCACGTCAAAAACACTCTTGCAATCCGTCGTGATGCAAGCCTTTGGTGCAGCCTTCAAAATTTTTGTGACATCTGTCCAATCAATTGATGGATTCTTCAGCCATTCCCAAACCACTCTGATGTAGCTTAACCTATCCAGGGCTGAACTAAGTGCAATGGCTTCCGAGCTTAGAGTGGATGTCACAACGCGTGGGATCTTCTTGGATGACCATGCTATTGGACATATCACAGCCTGTTGGTCTTGCACAAGCCTCTGATCGGTAGAAAGGATCAAAGCTCCTGGTCTAGATGGCGACCCTTTGCTTGTCGAAAAGGAAGCGTCACTAAATCCACAAAAGGTCACTCTAGACTCTGGGATTGGAACAGTGATCAAACTGATTCGATTTGCTTTGGCCTCAACTAGTACCCGGTTGGCTTGAAGCAGGTCCTCCGCACACGCCGTGTTTATCTTTGATGCGGTTACTCCAACCTTGGCACTAATGTCCGGCCTGGTATGGACTGAAGCATATTGTAAGCTACCACACAGTTGTCGGAGCTGTTGTCTTTCTGCTTCATCCACAGGACTGTTTGGCTTCTTCCTCCTTTCCCTACTCACTTGAATCGGAAAAATCTTCTCTACATACTTGTTCTGATCCATCTCTATGGAACCATCCTCCCTTTGTTTGAAGTGGATACCGCAGAAGTCAAACTCCTTTTCATAGTCTGCACCAAAACGGTATTTTTCCTTCAATGATTGGATCGTAGCCTGGTAGTATGCGTCGCCCCCCCTATTCCATCATCCACGAATTCCTAGGACTCCTCTCACTCTAGGCGTTCCCTCCTAGTGATCAGGGAGAACACACAACCGTCAAAGGGGCAAGCTATAAACCCAAGACTTTCCAAAGGAGTTGTAGCACAGGAGTGGTGCATCTGCTCTTCCATAGGCTCCTCCAGTTAGACCACACTGGTCTGTTGGACTCATCTGGAGAGCTGACTTGAGCTCAACAGGTGCGTGCATTCCAAGTTCACGGCCATCTCCTTTTCCCCTTAAAAATCCGGTGGAGACGTCGAAGTTGATGAGGGGCCAGGAATTTGAGCATACTTGTTGGAGAAGAAGTTGGCTTCCATCCTTTGATAGGGTAGGTGCGTTAGCGTCGATCTTTCCAATTCCTGGATCCTCAAAACCCAAAATTACAAGTCTCGCCTTAGCACGAAATTCAGTGGAGCCTGGTAAAGGATTTTTCCAGGTCAGTATCCACCGGGGCCTCGTGATTTGTTCTGAGACATCGTAATGTGAACACCTTCACGTTGGGCAAACTCGAGGAGTTTTTCCCCACGATATTCAATTGCCGGGTATAAATAGAGGGCCTTACATGGACCTGCCCATTGGAACCTCAAGTTTTCCAAAATCCTAGTCTGTTCTTCAGTCTCCCTCCCTGAAGGTATTCCAAGATGATATAGGGTCCCTTCATCGATCATGTGAGTGAAAAAGAATGTGGTTCCCTTCTTGTTGGTCCAGTAGGCTCCAGAAATCAAGGTCTGGATGTATACGTCCGGGGTGACTCAACCGTGGTTTTCCTCGAGACTCCAAACATGCACTGTGATTCCCTTCTGAACTTCTTCACTGGCCCCCCTCTCCTTCAGGAACCGGCTCATCTTCTCGGGTGAGGGATGTTCCAAATTGCAGTGCAGCCTACGGAGCTCCCTCTGCTCTTCCTGGGTAAGTCCTCTGAAATTAGGTAATGAGGTTGGGACATGCGTTGGGAGGTTCTCAGGGTTGGGTTCTTCATTCATGACAAATCTGTCCTTGCCTGTCTTGCGAATCCTGGAATTGCCTCAGGGTCCTCGATTCCAGGCGTCGGCGCATCTTCGCTTTTATTTGGAACTCTTGGCAGGGATGAGCTGGTGGCTTGACCCTGAGGGGGGTGTCCAAAGATTGTGAGGGAGATCTTGGAAAGTTTTGCCTTACCGATTCTTCCCAGCTTGGTCATCTTAGTCCATTCTTGGGGGGGCCCAAATCTTCCACTTCCCCAGTCTCCCTGCTCGTAGGTATTCCCCTCAAGGTCGATTCCACCTACTCGATACCTATCCGTTCCCCTACCGTAAATAATCAAGTGAACTTCCATGTCATGAACAATCCTCTGAACCATGTCCACTAGGGGTTCCTGTCCCTTACGAAAGTATCCATTTCCTACTCTTGGGGTCCGGGTGCCTGCCATTTGAAACACTCGCTCCCATGTAGGAGCCTTGCCGTATAGAGCTTCCTCTGTTTGTTTAAAGCATACCCGGCGACGCTTCCGCAACTGAAAGGATTCCTGTGCCATTTCTGGGCGCTCATGCTCTTCCAATCCTAATATCATCTCTTCTAGGATCAGTGGTGTTTCCCTCAGGTTACATTCCTGTTTCAAAACCCTTGCCACTCTCTTACCAAACATTCCTGTATAGTTTTGAGCAAAGGTCGAGATGTTTTCCCAGTTGTCTTTTGTCTTGTATTTCCCCTCGATGGGTTCATGTTCATGCTGGTGTGCGCAGCGGTGTCCATGGAGTTCCTGCCATAATTGTCTGCTGGTAGTATGGACTTGAGTTCCTTTTCGTAGGAACTTCTGGGATCCTGGAAGATGCAGTTGGCCCACTTGACACATGTCAAAGGTGGCGGGAAGAGTGCCCAATGCGGTGTCACTGAGTTCTGGCTGATGGATCATTTCTGATCCCACGGGTTGTTGCAAATGGAAATGTCGGTTTGTACTCGTCTGATATAAATAGATCTCATTGCGCAGTCGTAGGCGGTGTAAATCATACTTTCGTTCTTGCAGATACGATTATGCGCAGTTTGGCTCCTGCCCATATTGAACCTAGAGAACATTCCCCATAGTCGACGCTCTGGTGCCGCCCAAATGTGCCTGGGCTCATACATCACTATCCATGTCCACAACCGTTGAACTGTTTCCTGAGTATCCAAATCTCCATCCCTCTTGGTGAACCTCAAGGCGCGTCCACCTTGCTTGTTGAATTGAGAGGTCAGTTGAGATGTTGGTTCGCAATAGATTTCCAAGAGTTCAACTGTGGCTTCGCTGGATGGTGGTGCCGAATTTGGGATCTTCTGCAAAGTCATGCACTGGTTCATCAGCCCTGTCATCAGTATTAGCTGGTCTTCAATCTCTTGTGATAAGTTCTGCAGTTCCTGGTGAATCCGGTGTCCCTGCTCACTGGTCAGGCATCTCAGTTGGTCTTCGGGGTCTGTGTGCTTGGATGCAGGCGGTCGCCTTCCCAATCTCCTTATCTTCCTCGATCACTGAATGTTTGGATCGGGTTGGTTTGTACTGCTGGCTTGTGCTTGGGCAAGATCTTGTTCTAACTGGGCTGAGCCCGTCGTTGACACTATGTGAGTCTTGACAACTTTCATGCGGCTGCTGAGAAAGGCATTCTGAATTCCATTGTTCATGCATGCTGGACGGCTGTCCGTCTCTGGTGATCTCTGGAGTGTGGATCCTGGTTGCTTCCTTGTTCTCAAGGAGTATCTGTAGGTCTTTCCATGGCCCATTTAGAAGATCATGTACACTAAGTCCTAACAGGTGTTTTCTACACTCAACCAGGTGTATTCCAAAATTCACCCCTTTGAACATGAGCTTCCGCCCTTCCACATCAACTACCCCTTTTACTTTTCGGAGGAGTGAATTGGACAGCAAAAAGGGTGTGTTGCAAGGAATCACTTCCACCTTGATCCAGCCTCCAATTTTCCGTGGCAGGAGCACTGCGTATGTGCTCTGAAGAACGCCGTCATTGCCAAACTTGAAGGTGACTCCGGAGGAATCAACTTTTCGATCTCGTTTCCTAATCGAACCCTCCAAACAACCCAACATTCTCTCAAGCCTTCTTTCTCCAATAACCGTTCGACTGGCTCCGTTATCTAATATCGCAACGTGCTTTCTTCTTCGGAAAATAGGAGATTTTCTACCTCCTCATGGGCCGTTTCCATTCTACGGCATCCTGGAGGAAACATGGAACTCGCTGGACAAGGTCTAGCTGCGACCCGTCCGGGAATAAGCTGCAGCTTCCTACAGCAATTTTGAAGGCGATTGGTGAACTGACTTGAGAACTCTTCCATGACAAACACTTCACACACCTCCCCCCGCTCATGGGATGAGGTCTTCCAATCCCCTTGAAAACATACACACAAAATCACTAAGATTAAAACCACCATCATTCCTGTTTTATATATAACTCCTTTTTGTTCTCTCCTGGTTGGTGGTCAGGTGGATGATCTCCGCGTTCTCTGGCAGGTCATCGTGAGGTTCTTCATCATTCTTGTCCTGTGGACTCCGCTCCACGGTCGTGGTGATCCTCTCCGGAAGCTTGCTCTCAAATGTTGGATGTGACGGGTCTGGCCATTCTCGCTTCCCATGTCCTGGTAGAAGTCCTTTTCCCCAACATGGAACTGGCCATTTGATTAGCCAGTGAGCTTTTCCCATCATTGATGAGGAAGCATGATGATAGCTCGCTGTTTTGCTGGGTGGTGATAATTGCATGCTCTCTGAGATCATGGCAAAAATGGTGCATGTTCTCCTCCTTCTTCCAGGAGGGCCTGGTGAACCCATTATTCCTTATCCCATCTGCCATGGTCACCCTCCTCGGTCTTTAGGGCCTCCACCTCGTGGTTGATGTAGTTGCAGTCATTGGTGAGGCTCCCGTGACTCCCCATAATGATCTTCTTGTGATCCTCCATGGTTCGGGTGGAGTGCTTGACCATGATGTAATCCCGAAGGTCCTTTACCTCTGCCTTTCCATCTTGAGGGGTTTGGAAGTTGGCCTTCTCAAACAGCTGAAGGTTCATTTCTTCTTTCAGCTGGCTCCATGGCCTTCCCAAGGCCTGTACTCTGAGCTTGACGCCGTCCTTGGTCTTGAGCTTTGTTGGATCCAGGTGGTTCACCTTCTGGAAGTCTATTCCATTCACGAGCAGTCCTGTTCGAGGTGCTGGGTGTTCAACTGACTTGACCGGCCTGCTGTCCCTGAAGACGGCCAACTTGCCGCTGATCTCGTCCTTGACAAATACTCTTGGCTCGATCTTTGGAATCGGTTGTCCATTAGTGGTGGTGTTCCCATTGGTCCCTCCATTGGATCCCGCTCCTTGCGCCTCCTCTTCCGACATGGCAATTGCCGGATGGAGTGATGAAAACTCAACAGAAAATGGGGATGCCCTGCATACCAAAACCCTAGGATCAGACCCATCACCCTATGATCTATCCTAGACATCCTACCAATCTGAATGACCCTTGGCCTTGTCCAGCTTGAGCCACCGTTTTGGTGGATGGGCTTCATGAAGCTGATGGACCATGTTCATTCATTGAACACCCACAAATAACACACATATATATATATATACATACACGATATGTATAGTCATTGATCCCAAGATTAGAGGCGTATCCGTTGACGGAACGTTTGACTTTTCCAAAGCATGTTGTCAATCTACGCTTGTTGAGGTTACTGTATATCTCCGTGAGTTCAAACAGACTGCGTGTTGGACTGCGTTGTGAGGCTGTAGAAGAGACCACCAAGGCAGCTGAGGCGGCAGTTCCCAAGCCTTAATTGCAGGAGCTTGAGTTTGGCTACAACACTTGAGAAGGTCTAAGCGGCAATATGCAAACTTGCAATAATGCAAAATCATCCTGAGAATGGAAGGATATTCGACTCCCGGCATGGGTGGACCTGCAGAGTTGCCATGTCCTCCGAAGGACAATGGAGCAAGCCCCTTCTGACTTGGCTATAGTTGTGTATTCAGATCAGTTTGCTTGCCTCTCCGTTTGAAGGCGGCCTTGGTTGAAGAATCCTGGAGGTTGTGTAGTGTGGTTTGTGTAAATGAAGCTCAATATACCTCCGATCCATCGCTTCATTCGAAGAAGCAAGGTGCCTAGGTGCCCTAGCGTGACTCGCTTTTCTGGAAAAGGCTGTGTGTAGGGAAGTTGTGACGGATTAAACTGCTGCAAAGGTGATATTAGGTTGAAAAACCTCGCAGCAAGGTTTGCTGATCGAACGGTAGGCGTGTCCAAATGTACGTTGAGATATGTTCCAGCTTAAGAACAGCGGATGCTGAGGTTAGCGTCCTTGGGGATCATCTGTCTAATCAATCATAGGGCTCTATTACATGAAGAGAAGGCAACATACAAACACAGGACACAGGAGTAGTGTCCAATCTCCAACGGCAAGTAGAACAATGATAATCACATCTCTTGTTCTTGGTGGAAGCACGGTAATGGCCTGGAATGGCTAACTTTCAAGTTTTGCGGCTTCTGGCAAGAGCACGGCTCGGTGTCCGCGATTCTGGTGGCCTTGAGCTGGTGCTATCGACGGATGAGAAACTTGGTAAGTTGAAAGCTTTTTCTAGCTATGTTCTAGAAATTCAGCATAAGAAAGCTTGTGTTTAAGAGTTGAGCTCAAGCGAAGGAAACAACACATGTAAAGCCATCGGTGATGGATAGCCGAACTCGCCGAGTCTAGTCTGTTAAGTTTGTTACTATTATTATCATCATTACTATTTGTGTGTGTGTCATACGCTCATATTTGTCTTAATCTCAGGTTGCGCGGCTTCTTTGCATCGCAAGCGTCTAGTTCGGCGACGACACAGTCTGCGGCTTTGCAACAGGGCCAACGATCCGTCCAGGGTTTGCTTGCAAGCGCTGAGGAGGAAGGCGTTGCCCGACTTATTGAAAACTAATTCCTTCGGGGTCGCTGGGAGTCTTCTTTGAGCCGTTCAAGAAGGTAGACTTGAGTGACATTGCGTTGAAGAAGACACTTGTAGACTAGCCAAGCCTCAAACACGGGATTTGATGCCTTAGGCCTAGGCAATCAAAAAAGAATATACTGATATGCATATATATATATTGTGAATAATATATAAATTGTGAATAATGTAGTAAAATTATATGATATCATTTGTATCATATCTATTAGTATAGACTTGTACTTTTATAAATTGTTTTAACGTTTTCTTTGTATTTGTTACTGTCGACAATGGTGTTCATTGATTCATTGACCATTGTCACAACCTTGCCACAACTGCCACAACAACATTGTCAACATCGACCAGGTCTTTATGGCCTTTTGGCATTCAGTCCACACAATGAATAGTCCTTGAACCTTGAACAGTTCAACAGTAATCTCATCAGCGATGGTATGCTGGCACCTGTGGTAGCCACTGGGTACACTGTACACTGGACTTGTTTAGTAGCTTGATTTGTAAGGCTAATGTGGTAGTGCGGTGCGATCTGTTAACCTTACACCTGGATGCTGAGGCAGAGTTTATCCGATACACTGCAAGCGGCATGGTTTATTCTTTGCAAATAGTTTTGCTGCTTGTTGATGGCATAGTGCAGACCGTTGGGAACGAGCCATCGCAACGGAATGTCAGCGGCGTGTGTCTACGGGGGACACTCCTATGCCTTTGAGAACCAAAACCAAGTCCTCTGAGGGCAGTGCTGACTGCAGCGGTGGATTTGCTCGGTCAGTATCAATGCAAACTCTCCCGCCAATCGGAAGGAGTCAAAGCACACCGTCTTCTGACAGTCTTGGTTTGATTGAGATTGAGACTCAGATTGAGACATCATCTAGCGTACGGAGTTTTGCACTTGTGCCAGAAGCGTTCAGTCAGCCTGAAGCAACTGATGGTCCGAAGCGCTTTCAGAGGATGTGCTGGTCCAATGTTAAGGGCAACATTGACACTTGTCATAGACCCATGATTGTCAAACGTATCAATACATTGGAAAACCGGTGTGATGCATACAAGAGGGAGTTGAAGAGGGTGAGAGAGAGAGAACCGCTCTTTACAGTTGATCAAATTTGGAAAGAACAAGCAGAATGGAAGAGCTGAGTTGGCTACTTTGGATGATGCATGAAACAGTTTGGCGATCACTCAAGGACATGTTCGCCTAACGAAACAAGGCTTTATTGCGTTGGGGATTCGCGCGTCACTGGCTTTATGCTCTTCTGTGGCTTTTCCGATGGCAGTTCTCGTCGAAATTTCGAGACAGACCGTTGTCCGGGCAGAGACAGCGGTGTGGTCAATGCTGGTTTTGAGGTCTGCTGCCTTTCACACCCTGATCTACCAAACATTGGCCTCCATTGCATCGTGGCTGAAGTCTACTGAATCAACTCCTTGTTCATCACAGACGCGACCGTCAACCAGTGCAAGTACTTCGTTTGTGCCAGACTTCCCTCTAGTTTTGGCTGATATTGATCAGATTGCTATGGCTGCAAAAGACCTGTGTCTACCACTGCCAAAAGGGCAAAATGATTGGAATTGGAAGTTTGATGCTCCCTTTTGCATTGCTGGAACGGGTTTTTCTGGGGACGCAACCATAGTGGAATATGGAGAAGGAACAAACTTCAGGGGTTGCTCCTCAACAGTGCGTGTCTGGTCGATCACAAGAAGTTGGGAAGTCGTGATGAATGGTATCAAGCATTCGCCCACCACACCACTGTGCTCCTCGGAACTGTATTCAGCGACTGCTGTGCCACCAAGTACAATCAAGGCATCAACGACAGTTACTGTTCTGAGACGTTGCTGACTCTACTACTTCACTTCCGTTATATATTCTGGTTCCTCTTTGAACTGCTTCATGATGATAAGGTTTGCAACAAAGCGTAAACATTCTACTTCTTCTACGTTCTACTTTACTACTACTGCTGTTGCTGCTACTACGGCTACTGCTACTGCTACTGCTGCTACTACTACTATAGTTACTATATACTACTTCTGCTACTGCCACTGCTGCTGCTGCTGCTGCCGCCACTACTGCTACTACTGCTCCTGCTGCGATTTCAAACAGTTACTAATAGCTAGTTAGTCAGTCAAAAACTAAAACAAATTTAAGGTTAGGTTAGGCGCAAATACAAAACAGTGAGCAGTATATAACTATATATAACTATGTGCATTATGTCAGAGGCAGGGTTGTTTGTTTTGCTGAGGCAGCTTAAGTAGTGAGTAGTGTGTTGCTTTGTTTGACCATGTGTCATGTCAGAATCGGAGTCAAGGGTGTCACTGTCACACAAACAATGACAAACAATCAATACAACTAACTGACAACCACTGTGTGTGTAGAAAAAACATTAACCAGTTTGCGCGTTGGTGATGGCCCTTGCAAACCTTGCAAACAAAGGCGGCGATGTAGTGGAATTGGGAACTAGGCGGAATAGCTAGTAGCTAGTTTGGGCTACGTTGAGTACAGTGAATTGGTGTCTTTTTTCTTACTCATATGGTTACGCGGGCTCACATGGACTTCATATTCTCTAGACTTCTCTGAGGTGTGACCTCCAAATTGCTAACGAAGGGACATCTTCGGGCAATTTAGCCATTGTTACCAAGCAACTTGCTCTGATGAAGTGCTGCGCTTGGGCTGAGCTAGCAGAGAAGACCATGATGCTTGCAATTTTGCGATGAAATTTGTTTGGTAAAGTTGTAGTTATATTACACTTTTGTAATATGTAGTACACTTTTGTAGACGGTGCAGTACACTTTTGTAATATGTAGTTGTTGTGGTTGTTGTTGTATGTTTAGCTGCTTGTAGTCTGCGGACGTAGTTGCGAGTTGCTCTGATACGGTGGTTTGATTTGATAGCTGAAATTCTCTCTTGTTTGTCAGGAATGGCTCTCTTCCGAAAGGGTACATACACGTATGGTGTGTCAGCAGCGACAATGGCCCGGATCAAGCAGCTTTCAAGACTGCATTGCGCGCAGAGTTTGTGGAGCAACAATATTCCAACCAAGTGTTGTTTTCTCTTCCATGCCTGAAAGCATCAAATGCACCTGCTGGTGCAAGAGCTGGTCAAATGCACCTCCAAGCTCATCGCACGCTGCCAGAAGAAATGGGGTTACTTTGGGAGCCTTGCCAAAGTGTGTCATTGCTGGCGGGCACATGGCCCAAAGTTGACGAAGACATGGCAATTGTGTGGATGGAGCATGGTCATATGCCGCTTCTTGCCACGTTCCTCCTGTCCCGATAAGTGGTCGGTGGGGAAGCATTGATTGTGCTTTGGCTTCATTGGCAAATGCTTTGTTGATTCGTTGTTAAAGTATTCAGATGATACCCTGTAACCAGTAACCAGTCAACTTGCAATTAGTTTGATGCATTCTAACTCACTTAATTCAACCGATCACTGATGTGTGTTGGTTGCCATAAATTGCTGGTAAGGTGCAGAAAAGTTTTAGCTTGACGCTCCTGAACAAAAAGTCTCCGTCTTTCTGGCAACGTTTTTCCACGGGGAATACAACCGGCAAATGGAGAAGCGTTCACTGAAAAGATGCTGAAGATATTGATGATGATGGTGACGATGCGGCTAAGCAAGATGATGAAGATATGGCGCACGGGTCTGAAGAGCAGTACCGACTTGAAGTTAGCAAGTGGATCAGAGGATAGATTGAGGTGATTCAGGATCCTCTCTGGTGGTTCATGCTGCGCGTATTATGCTATACAAAGCAGCCAGTCAGCAACTTGCTTTCTAAGTTCTCAAGGTGGCAGGCTGCATCATGATTCTGAAAAAGAACTCCGGCGTCAGAATTGCCACTGGTAACGCTTGTTCTACAGAAGATTCCACAGCTGGACTTGGAGTTCAAAACTATTTGTGAATCTGTAGACACCTGGGCAATGGACATCTTGCACAAAGTGCAGTCAATGAGTATTTGGTGCAACCACGACTCAACATTGGACATGAGCATGATGAAATCTATCGCGCTGCAACTAGCCCTTCAAAACCGCTCTTCTTTCTCACGGCGGGTGCTGAAATTCTTTGGCAGGCCAGGAAGCAGCGGTCCAAACAATACTGATGACTAATTATTAACATTGTTTATCAACAAACAAGGTTCAACATTGATGACAAACATATAGAATTTCTCAGAGTGCATCTTTATCAATCGTTGTCTTCAGTTGATTGTGCAAACAAAGCCAGTGTTCACAAACAAAAAAGTTATCATGGCAATTTCTATCATTGTTTTTGGTACAGGTCCCAGGTGTTTGGTCAAGCATTTAGCGACACATTGACACAGTAGCTCATGTGTGAATGAATCAACGCCCGCCACACCACTGTCTCACCATTCCAGCTTGCGTGCGTCCATCCACAGTACAAACAACCAGACTCCGGTCACTGTTATGTTAGTCTGTTACTCTGTTGCTTTATAATTTTGCTCAGGTTGATTGTCGACGTGACAATCAAAACAGGTGGCCATGGAAGCTCTTTATGCTGCTGAACGCTGATCCTGACTTCCCATGTCCTGTGCAACGAGGAGCGCTGTCCAAAGTGAAGCTTTTGATATTTATGTAAGATATTTGACGCCAATCATGTGCCTCAGTCGGACTTGTGTATATACTGGATTCAGCCTGAGATTATCCAAGTAGGCGAAGTGCATCTATAATGGTATGTGCGTAGACAACATATGCATGCACATTGGTCATCAGTCATCATATAAGCAGAGTTTCCAACGGGAAGGTCATTGATCTAATCAAACTAATCACACAAGATAAGCCAACAGGATGTGTTCCACAATATATTGACTTTGGTTGGAGTAGATATAAATTGTCTACGCTCCGCTACCGTTGATTGTAGATAGTAGCTGAGAAGATGAGAAGGTTCTTGCGTGGGGTGTGGAAAACATCTTGTTGTTGGGCTGTTTAGGGCTGTTTGTTTTATTTGCTATGAATCAACCATCATAAATCAGCCAGAGTTTCGCACATGTGCTGTGATTGTACCTTTGCCTTTGCAGGCATTGCAGCAGAGTTGCTTGACCACGATGCCACATTGGTTGAGACAACAGCTCGGAAGTTCAGAGAGCTGTGCCATGACGAACTGCAAATCATAGCAGTCGCTGGGTCTGTCCCAAGCAATAGCAAGACAAGGGCTATCCTGTTGGTCGCTGGAAGCATGCTTCGACTGGATATACAAGAGTTGGAAGGCTTGAATAGTATGGTGAAGATTGCAATTGCGCGAGCGCAGAACAACCGAATTGAGTTACCGCTTCTGAGCTCCAGGGTTTGTCTCAGGAAATTGATTGCCATGAATACACATGGCTCTGTCAGAGTTCGCGATGTGAAACCTTATGCGGCCTGCCTGTGCAAGTCTGCCACCATCTTTGCTGACGGCTACCAAGCCCTCCATGACGATGTCTCAAGACTTCTTCGGCTGATTCATTGATAGCGCTCCCTCGAGGCAACCCTCTTTTATTCGACCCAGTGGCCAAGGAATCTCTGCAGGCTACGTCATGGGCCATGAAATACCATAGCCAGTTCATGAAGATATTCCGCAAATTCTGGGCGGGCAAGAAGACACTGCCCAACAAGGCATTGGCATTGGTAGTTCCACAGCGCCATTCGGAAGACTCTATCTTTTGGCTTGCTTGCGTGAAAGTTCGAAAACAGGCTGTGATGATAAAGCTACAAGACATTTCAGACCAGGTTCAGGGAGTTGGTGCGTATCGTGCAGCAGAGTTGGCTTCAACTTCAAGCGTTGGCCTTGGGAGTGCGACTTCCATGTACCAAACATCTCTGGCAATCATTGCTTCCCTATGTGCAGTTGTCACGAAAGGTAGCCCTTTAGGGGATACCTTGAGTTTGTCTTGCGAAGCAAGTGTTGGGACGTCCGGGTCAAATAATTGATCGCTCAATTCAGACCCCCCCCACCCCCCC